AGCCTTTTGGACTCCCAGTTGCATAATTTCATTGTCTTACAATTTGCTTACTTCAAGGATGTGGAAATTTATAATTTCTGCTGTGAACCTGCTCAAATCCTTAATCTTGACTGTTCTGAACCCTTCATCAAAAACCTAGTCACATGTTTTGCTGGTGCCATATTTGGTTTTTTCCCTATCTCAGTAATACTCTTCTCTTACTACAAAATTGTTTCCTCCATTCTGCGAATCCCATCCTCAGGGGGGAAGTACAAATCCTTCTCCACCTGTGGGTCTCACCTCTCAGTTGTTGGCTTATTTTATGGAACAAGTGTTGGGGTGGACCTTGGGTCAGCTGTTTCACATTCTCCCAGAAAGGGTGTGGCATCCTCAGTGATGTACACCATTGTCACCCCCATGTTGAATCCCTTCCTCTACAGCCTGAGGAACAGGGACATTAAAAATGCCCTAAGGAGGTTCCACAGTGGAAAAGTCTACATCAGGACCTGAGCTGCTCCGTTGGAATGTATGTGGGAGAATCCATGAGTAGTAACACCTAGACCTAGGAATTCTACCTCGTGGGCACATCATTTTTTCAGTTTGTTGGCTCTGACACCTCATTACATTTCAGAGGGTTATGAGGCTGGAGTTACAGGGTGCGCTCACTCCCTTCCCACTCCTGAGCCCTCAGTGATTGACAGGCTCCTTCAGTTACTGTCTCTGTGACTCAGTGTCCCCTCTTTGCCTTTGTCCTGTAGTAACTATCCAGCTTATTGCCCATATTCAATTCACTCCATTATAATAACTAGATTTACTTCTGTTTCTTGAGTGAACACTGAGTGATTGTAACAGGTGGGAAAATGTATGTTGAGATTTGTCAACGTTTGTGACATTTCAAAATGTGCTGAAGAAATAAAGCTTGTTTTAAATATATGTCGTTTTCAGGACATCCCTGTGAGATGTGGTAAGTGGGATCATATTTCAGGTTTCCTATAAAAGAATACTATTGGCTCCTCCTCACTTTGTGGCTTCCTGCCCTGCCATGGGTTCTCTGCCTCACAGGTGTTTGCACAATTGTAACCTCATTTGTCCTGAGGCTCTCACTACAGCCAGTGCCAGATTGTTTAGATGTTCAGCCTTCAAAACTGTGAGCTAAATAAATCTTTTCTTTTCTGTATAACTTACTCTGCCTCAGATATTTTATTATGGCAAAAGAAAAGAGACCAATATGGGGCAGGGGAAATCTGCTTTACTTGGTCTATCAACTAAAATGATAAACTCAAATAAAATTATTAGACACTTACAGACACATATACCCAAGATGATGTTTGATCAAAAATCTAGGCACCAATAGCTCACCAATTTTATACATAAAATTAGCCATCACAATATCCTATTAAAATACTAAATATTTATATTTTATAGACATACATCCAGTATTTCAATTCCTCCCTAGATTGTATGACTTTCTATATTATGCTCCATAAACTCTTGAGAGAAGAAATGTGAGCTTATTTGTTTTTAATATAATGAAGAATGGAATTATTTCCTCCCAATATTAAGAGTTATAAATAAAATATAGATTTTAAACAGTTCTACAAAAGTAAATGTATATGATAATGAAGACATGGTTTTTAAAAATTGGAGATATCTAATAAAGAATGCAAGAAGTTCTGGTTTTAATTTTTCTTCAGGTACTCATCATAGGAGGAAAATTGGTGTATGAATATGACCACCCTCAATTTTAACATGCCATGTATTGTAAATTTTTCTTTGGCTGTGATGTGAGTGTCCTATCCCTGCCACCCTCTATGGAATGACTTCAAGTGAAATACAACATTTTTTCCCCTATGGCACAATCTGTCTTAGCCAATAGTTCTTCTGCCCCATCCACCTCTCAATACCTGCCATCTGGCCTTCTTCACATTCTCTCTCAGTCCTCCAGAGGCACCCTTCCCTCCATATGCAAGTTGAGTAGGCATGTGTTAAAGCGTTATTCACAACAATTAAGGATGAACTGACTTCACTTCCACAGAATGGAGGTCTCTCAGCCAGGTAGCTCTGAGGAGGGAAGATTGCAACAGACCACTCTTTATTTAAGTCCTACTTTGTCCATCAGGAAAAAAATACAAAAACAAAACAAAACAAGAAAAAACAGAAACACCTTATTAAAATGTCCAGGACTGGAAAACACCAAGGAATCTCAAGTTGGGAAAAGACTGTAGAAATGGATCAGGAAATTCAGTTTAACTCTAAGAGTACTGTGACAACCCATGCTTGGATTTAAAAGAGGAAAAAAAACCCACACACAGATAACAGAAATATCTGGGCCTGGAAGACCCTCAACTCCCCAGATATTGCCTGAAAACTTGACGCCATTGCTACCTCAGAGCTCCACTCATTACTACCCCCAGAATGGGTGCCACGGCCTCTGACCCAACTCCTTTAGCTCTCTCAAAGTTAGTTTGGGGCACAGCTGTTCATACTGGTGTGTCTATGGGGAGCCAAGGGCTGGAGACCTTTGCCACCATCTTGCTCCCCCACCTGGCTTTCTTCAGGGATCCTCCCTAACCCCCAGATTCTTCAGCAGCAAGTTAAGGGCCACCACAGTGCTTATCCGCCAGGGCCAGGAAATGCTAGCAAATAATTTTGTCAAAGACCAGGCAAAGGGTTTCCTATCAAAAGATTATTCCTCTTATCACTTTAAAGAAGTAAATTTTTAAAAGTGAACATTTCAGGTATTTAAAGGTAAACTAATAAAAACAGTGTGACTTTGAATATGGTAGAAAACACGTTCCATTCAACTTATTCAACTGTAAATTGATGGGGAAAAATACTCACTTAACCAAGAGGGTGCTGGGAAGATGTGGTAGAATGTATTGATTAAAACAATCTTAGGTGCCTTGTTTTGCATCGATAATTTAAACTTTCATTCTCATGTTAATAGATTCAATTCATGGGCTTTACAAACAGAAAATTTGATTCTTTTGACTAGCTCCTGAATTTATTAACTGTTTGCTAGAACTTGGTACTTATCTAAAGGCTTAATGTTTTCATTTTTAATGATATTTAGTTATAGTACTTTAATTTTTTTAGTTGTCAATTGACCTTTATTTAATTAATTTACTTATAAGTGGTGCTAAGGATCAAATCCAGGGCCTGATACATGCCAGGCAAGTGTTCTACCACTGATCCAGAACTCCAGCCCTACTTATAGCATTTTTGAAAATGGTAAGAACTCATTAATGGAAGATATCCTTGTTATTATCATGGTGGTTGTCAGCATCATCATCATTATCATCATCATTTAATTTCAAGGTTGATGTAATTCCAAATATTTTATTTGGACTCGAAGAATTCTTTCACTCTGGATGGTGGCAGATGGTAACATGTTGGTGTTTACACAGTGCAAAATCCTTTCTTGATTTTTTGTTATCATTTAAAAACTCAGTGAATATCTTTTACAACTGCAATTTGTTAAAAGACCCTGGGTTTAATCCTGGTGCCACACCCTGTCCCCTGGCTAAGAAAGAGAGTTTAACATTTCCTTTGGAGGCCAGTTTTGTTCAGAAATTACAAAGGTTAATGATGACAAAAATGTATCTGAATACTCATAAAATTCAATTAAACACAAACCAAAGGAAGCAATATCTACATATGAAACATGGAGTGAAATGAAAGCCATCACACTCCTAGAGTCACGTAAAGGAGAAGGTAGGTCTATATGGTTGGTTTTTCCAACCTGAACTACAGAAAGAAAGAAAGTGATAATGAGACTAGAATGGCCTGCTCTGTAGCTTCATGAGGGCAGTTTTAATGTCCTTGTTCCTCAGGCTGTAGATGAAGGGGTTCAGCATGGGGGTCACCACAGTGTACATCATGGAGAACACAGCAATCTTTCTAGGAGAGTCTGATACAGCTGAAGCAAGGTACACTCCAATGGCAGTTCCATAAAATAAGCCAACAACTGCCAGGTGAGACCCACAGGTGGAGAAGGCTTTGTACTTCCCACCTGAGGATGGGATCCTCAGAATGGAGGAAACAATTTTATAATAAGAGAAAAAGATCCCTAAGACAGGAAGAAAGCCATAGATGGCACCAACAGTATACATGACGATATTTTTGGTAAAGGTATCAAAACAGATAAGACTAAGGATCTGAGAAGGTTGACAGAAGAAATTAGCAATTTCCACATCTTTGAAGTAGGTGAAGTATAAGGCAATTAAATTGTGGAGCTGGGATTCCAAAAGGCTAAGCAAAAGAGACACCAGAACTAAAAAGCCACAGAGGCGAGGATTCATGATGACTTGGTAATGCAGGGGGTGACAGATGGCCACAAAGCGGTCATAGGCCATCACAGTCAGAAGCATATCATCCATGCACCCAAAAATGAGAAAAAAAGACATCTGTGTCAGGCAGCCTACATAGGAGGTGACTCTGCTCTGAGTCTGGATGCCCACAATCATGTTTGGGACCGTGGTGGAGACGAAACCGATGTCAGCCAAGGACAGGTTGGCGAGGAAGAGGTACATGGGGGTGTGGAGGCGGGAGTCAGAGCTGATGGCCAGGATGATGAGCAGGTTCCCAAGCACTGCAACCAGGTACATGGACAAGAACAGTCCAAAGAGGACGGGCTGCAGGTCTGGGTCCTCTGACAGTGCCATGAGATAGAATTCTGAGGCAAGTGTTAGATTTTTCAGTTCAGTTTTGCTTGGGCACCTTTTGAAAAAGAAAAATGTGTTGGAAAAAGGAAACCAATAAATATATGCAAGCATGAACACAATGTTACCCAGTACATTAGCCTAGAATATTTAAACACCACACATATGTTTGTCTTGTGGATATAAGGAAAAGTGAGATTCACGGTGGTATATTCACATATGCAGGAAGGAGAGCTTGGTCTGGCTCAGTCCCTGGCTCCTTCTTTTCCCAGTCCTTCCTTTCTCCCCCTCAATCCCTTCCTCTACTCTCTGATACCTCTTCTATTTTCATGGAATTCCTTCCCTCCACCTTTTCTTTCTTTTTTCACTTATTTTGGTACACTAAATTTGATCATTTACATCAGAAAACATTATAATCTACTTATTTCCCCTGAGTTTTTCTGCTTCTCATGCATTCTATTTCCCCTCCTCTGTGAATGAAGTACTCACTCAAATTTTGTATGTGTTTCAACACTAATGTAATAGATAGCTTGAATCATTATTTGTGTTGGACCCTAATTTTGATTAATATGTTTAAGATGAATGTACATAACCAATATCATCAGCCTTAGGGCACATTGCCCCATCAATGATTCACTGCTAATGAAATATTAGCACTTTTGAATTTTCTTGTTGTGTATATGTTTATTTGTGTCAACTCTATATGTCTTCCCTCAAATATCTACTAAAGAAATCTATTCCTTGCTTTCTAAAAATTTTATGTGGCTTAGGTACACTGCTTCTTTGTTCTTCTGATCAAAAACCCTTTTACATATGTTTGAGGACTTTAGCATTAGGGAACACACAGAACCGAAGTTTGGGTATGATACTTCTAATACCACTTAGTAGATTTTCATATCAATTTATCCTGGTAAATGGATTATAATTCTCCTACATCTGCTACTTGAACGCAACTCAGGTTCATTCCTTTATCAAGTCACATTGTCATTTAATTGGAAAAAATGCAACAGAAAAGTGTAGGAAATTATTTAAACACATCTGGACCATTTAGTCACATCTAAACTGGGGAAAATAATTACCTAGCTTATGTGTTATTTTTGAAATGCTTTAAAATATTTTTTAAAAATCACATGAAGTAGCAGTTTTTGATCTCATTTATAATATTTACTTGTGGATATTTTGAAACACCAAGATGCCCTGGTACTGGATTAAAATAAGTTTGATTATAATATCAGCTGGTGAAGATCTTGGTCATCCTGTCTTATACCAGGGTTGAGAATCACAGCCTTAGAATATTTGCTGGCATTCTGAAAATGTCCTATTAGTAGTATTTTCTATGACTACTAACAATAACTACTACCCATATTAAAAATAAACATTTAGTAATATGTGCTTCAAAACCAATATTTTATCAGGATTTAAATTATTACGTATGAAATGTGGTTCTTACTATCTCTGCATGATTTCATTTTCTGTATACCTGTTTCCCCAAAGAAATTGCTCCCATAAATTCAGTGGGTATATTTTTGTCAATATTTTCATGTTAGTTTTAATTTCAATATCCATTTGCACTTTTCTTTAAGACTTACCTGAAAAAAAAAAACAATGTTCATTCAAGCCATCTACAACACATTATTGCCCATGAAATTTAGTAGTTTAGATCAACATGTGAAGCAAATTCCTTAACCTCAAAAGCCTTAGCTGATGCACACCATTACCCGAAGGATAACAATTAATTTGTCAATTTATTTTTATGAACAGCTTTCCAAAATCTAGTGCCTGAGTCCATATCATACAAATGAGGATTTCCACATAATATGTGGGTGGCAGACAGTTTTTTGAATTCCAATAGTTGATGTGCATTCCAGGTGTTCTATTACTCAGGAACATTTTTTGGTTAAATAAAAAATGGTCCTCATCAAACACAACTTACTGTGGTTAAGATGTACTGTTCAAAAATATTCCGGAGGTATGTCTTGTATGAGCCCCTGCATAATTACTAAGATATTTCCTCTTGTTTAGGAGAGTTATTTCCAGTGGGCTCCAATAGGGAAGACAGACGTTTTGGGATAAGAGTTAGAAAATCCACACTTTAGTTCCATATCATTAACCTTTGCCTGTGAGCTCAGCCATCCTGTCTATAATGGAGGCAGCTGGGGCCAAACACTGCTGACATGTGTGATCCACCAGGAACCTTAATTCGAAGAGCATAGTGAGTATCAGGGATTTTTCTTGGTATTTGAAGTAGCTGTGTGGGTTGTTATAAGGAAAACCTTCCAAGAGTATTCTGGGCAAATGCTTGTTGTCTGTGATACTTAGCTCAATTCAATCATGGCTTCATTATTTTACATCTAAACACAAATTATGAAGTTACATAAAAATGCTGTCTTTTCATTTTGGTATAATAATAATGTTGGTGGAGCTTCTGAGTTTCAGAAGACTGTGTACATGAAATGAAACATGCTACAGAGAACAAAGAGATTAGAGCATCCGTTTAGGAAACTGTCAGTATCAGTTCATTATACAATTATTGCCAATCTCTTTCCCCTCATCACCTTCATAAACCATTGGAAATGTTTAGGAAAAAGTTCACAGGACCCAATTTCTACTTCCACGCATAGAACCAGTGTGCAAGGAAATCAAAACTTTGAATGAGATTATTTGGCACCTCCCCCACTGTCAGGTACATAAACTTCAAAGTTAAAGTAGCTGATATTCTGCATAGTTTTATTTTCACATCTATCTACCCCACACTTTCATGTTGTCTTGATGATGGGGAAAGAGCATTCCAGAGAGTCCTTCCTCCATCCGTCCTCTCCCCCAGCACTTACTGGGTAGTGCTGAGTCTATGCTGAGTCATGACAAAGAGAATCCAATGCCCCTCCTCTGCCTGGTACCCAGAGAGGCCTCAGGCTCCCTGCTCAGGATTGATATGAATATGGTGATAGATACGAGCTTCCTGGTGCAGAAAAACCATAGAAGGATGGGACACAGGTATGAAGCCAACTCGACTGGAGCCATTGAACTAAAGAGCTGCAGACATAGGATGACTATTGACTATTATATGACCTTAGGGCTCCATGCACAGGGCTCATAATTAGTCAAATTGCTCCATGTTTTCTAAATCTCCAAGGACTTCTTAATACAAGTGAAGTAAGAAACAGAAGAGAAAATGAACATCCACAGATATTTTGGGTATCTTCCTAGGAGAAGGATGTTTCCTATTTACAAGTTTTATTTCTTTTATTATGATTCATCTACTTTCATTTAAATTATATTGTGGTAAATATGCATAACAAAAACTTACCATTTTAATCATTGCTAAATGCACAGTTAAGTGGCATTAATTACATTCATATCATTATAAGACCATAGCAATCATTCATTTCCAGAATTCTGCATTTTTTCTAAACTGAAAATTTATACTCATTTAAAAACTCCTCACTCCTCATGCCTCATGTCTCTGGTAACCACCATTTTACTGTGAAATATGATGCAGAAGAAAAGTCATAAAATTATAAAAAATAATGGTCCAAGTAGACAGAATTTACATGTTTTAAATTCATCCCTGCTGTGTTTTCTAGCTTACATTCCAAATGAATGCACCAGTCCTGAGATTAGACCATCCTGCTGTGCAGCCTCCTCCAGGCACTTTAAATTTCCCTGTTCCTCAGGCTGTAGATGAAGGGTTTCAGCATGGGGGTGACCACTGTGTATATCATTGAGGTCACCTCAGCCTTTCTGGGAGAATATAATACAGCTAAATCAAAGTATACTCCAAGGCCTGTTGCATAAAATAAAATGATGAACAATGGAGAGTTGAAACCCTCAGTTTTTTTCCCCCTCTGTTCTGATGATGGAATCATCTGAATGGAGGAAACAATTTTAGAGTAAGGGAAAAGGATTATGGACATGGGAAGATATCCAGAGATGGCATCAGCAAAAACACACAACAGTGTTATCAGTAAAGATGTCAGAACTGGGAAGATTGAAAGTTGAGAAGGGTTATGGAAGAAATTAGAAATTTCTACATGTTAAAAGCAGGGAGATTACAATGCAGTTCATTCATGCTGCTTAAAATATGTGACCTTAAAATTAAGAAAACACAGAGGCATGAATTCATAGTAGGCTGGAAATGCAGTTGGCCATATTTAGAAAGGCCATTACAGTCAGAAGGCTATCATCCATGCCTCCAAAATGATAAAAAGAGACATCTGGAGATGGCTCTGCTGTGAGTTAGGATATTCACCAGCATCTTTGGGACCATGATGGAGATGAAGCCGATGTCAGCCAAGGACAGGTTGGAGAGGAAGAAGTACATGGGGGTGTGGAGGTGGGAGTCAGAGCTGACAGCCAGAATGATGAGCAGGTTCCCAAGCACTGTGACCAGGTACATGGACAGGAAGAGTCCAAAGAGGAGGGGCTGCAGGTCTGGGTCCTCTGAGAGGCCCAGGAGGAGGGATTCTGAGACACCTGTTAGATTTTTTGTTTCTTCATAGTTCTAACAACTAATTCTCAGACTCTGCACTTGATGCACTAAACTTTTTCATTGCTTTCAACCATCAACATTTTAAAGCTAAGGTCCAAAATTCTAAATTACAGGTATGTCCAGTGAGCAGTTCTAAATTCTAAATTCCAGTTTTGAGTAGGAATGTTGCAAAAATCCTGCCTGTAATGTCTTTTTTTTTTTTTGATATTGAGTGGGCTGGCTGTAAGAATGGAGGGGTATGAGGACCACGGTGTGGTTGTCCTGGAGTAGTGGAAAGAGCAATGAGTGCTGCTAATTGCTTATCTTCTCTGTGGTCTTAGCCTGGAATCTATTTCTGTCATTCCTATAGTTGACTCAGAAGGTACCAATCACTTCTGTCCCTTTGGGTGTACCAGTAATCCCAAAAAGGAAGGACACAATGAGAAAGGGATTTTTTTTTTATGGAGAAAGAAGCAAGTGAAATTGCTGGTTGGGTTGTCCAGTGGGCAATATCCAGTATTCTCCTGTCAAGATACCCTGTATCTATAATCAGACACACCAAAATGGCTTTTCTATTTTCTAACAGACTACCTGGTATTAGCTACATAAAACTAGTGCTTCTTTCTTTCATGGATGATGATGATGATGATGATGATGATGATGATGATGATGATGTTGAAGATTATAATATAACATAGGAGCTGAAATGTTAGATTATTCGGATGAAATGATGCAAGATACAAAGAACACATTTCTGATACTGACAATTAGGTATCCCTCAATATCTGTTCATAGTATTGTGGATATTCTTCTCTTTGTCCTTGGCCTCATTTTCATAATCTTTTTACAGTAATTGGGAAACAGTTTATAGGAACCCATATTCTGCCAACATGGATGAGATGTCTAAGAGAAGTAGAAGTGTGAAAGGAAATGGAAACATTGAATGAGATTCTTAGGACTCCCAACATAACCAAATACCCATATTCACACAACTCATAACAGCTGAAACTTTGCACACTGGTGTCTTCCTATCTCAATGCCTAAACTTCATGTTACTCTTCATGACTAAAACAATGGTTCTGACAGCCTTTCTCCATTCATCATCAACTGGGCACTGAATGAGTTGTGATACTTCTCTGCTGGGCCATGAACACGAACTGTGATTCCGACATTCACCCCGTGACAAGTGCCTAATGAAGGTTCAGCCTCCATCTTAACAATTGACTTGAATATAGGGACAGACAGGAGCTTTCTGATACAGAAAACTATGGTTGAAGAGACACAGGTATGGAGTGCAGTTGACTGAAATCTTCAAACTATAAGGAAGCAGGCAAAGCTAACTTTTTACTATCATATGAGCTTGGGGGCTCAGGAATTCACAATCTGTCAAATTGAGCCACAATATTGAAATGTATAAAGGACTTTCTCATAATAGTGGAGGAGAGAAATGAACATCTACGGTAGGTTTTTGGCTATTCCTATACTCAAGAGTATACTTGTGTTTACTTTCCACTGTTTATTTTGTGTAGATTTTAAAAATGATTAGAACATAATAATTACACAGAGTAGTTGAATTCATTTTGACAAAATCATTCATGCATGGAATCTGTTTGCTCCATTTCAGTTCATGTCCTAGCCTTTTCCCTCCCCTCTTCTCCCCCCCATTATCCTTCCTCTATTTTACTGATTTTCCTTTCACTCATGTTTAAGTGCAGAGTTGGGTGGCATTAATTGCATCCACTCTTTCATGCAAACATCACCATCAACAATCTCCAGACATTTTTCATCTTCCCAAACTGAAACTTTGTACCCATTTAAAAAAAAAAAAAACAACAAAAAAAACACTTCACAATCCTCCTTCTCCTAGCCCAGGAAAACACCATTCTACTAAGAAACATGATGAAGAAATAAAATTATCAAACTACAAAAATAATGTTATCACAAGGAGGCATAATTTACTTGAAAATTTAGATGTTTAGCATTGCTGCTTTTTCCAACGCATGTTCCAAATGAAAGCTGCATGCCTGAAATTACACTGTCCTGCTGTGCAGCCTCCACAGAGCATTATTAATGTCCCTGTTCCTCAGGCTGTAGATAAAAGGATTCAGCATAGGAACAACCACAGCATACATCAGTGAGAACACAGCAATCTTTCTGGGCGATTGTGATACAGTAGAAGCAAGGTACACTCCAACCGCTGTTCCATAAAATAAACAAACAACTGCCAGGTGAGACCCACAGGTGGAGAAGGCTTTGTACTTCCCACTTGATGATGGGATTCTAAGAACCGAGGAAACAATTTTGTAGTATGAGTAAAAGATGCCTGAGAGAGGAAGGAATCCTGAGATGGCACCAACAAAATACATGATTGCATTTTTGGTAAAGGTATCAGAACAAGAAAGATTCAGTACTTGAGAAGCCTCACAAAAGAAATTAGAAATTTCCACATCTTTAAAGTAGGCAAAGTGTAAGACAATCAAATTGTGGAGCTGGGATTCCAAAAGGCTAAACAAAACAGACACCAAAACTAAAAAGCCACAGAGGCAAGGGTTCATGATGACTGAGTATTGCAGGGGGTGACAGATGGCCACAAACCGGTCATAGGCCATCACAGTCAGAAGCATGTCATCCATACATCCAAAAATGATAAAAATAGACATCTGTGTCAAGCAGCCCACATAGGAGATGGCTCTGCTGTGAGTTTGGATGTTCATGAGCATCTTTGGGACTGTAGTGGAGATGAAGCAGATGTCAGCCAAGGACAGATTGGAGAGGAAGAAGTACATGGGGGTGTGGAGGCGGGAGTCAGAGCTAAAGGCCAGGATGATGAGCAGGTTCCCGAGCATCCCAACCAGGTACATGGACAGAAGCAGTCCAAAGAGGACGGGCTGCCGGTCTGGGTCCTCTGAGAGTGCCAGGAGATGGAATTCTGATACAGATGTTAGGTTTTTCAGTTTAATTTTGCTTAGGCACCTTTTGAAAAAAAAAAAAAAGAGTATTGGACAAAGAAAATTGATAAGCAGAGACACCAAGTATTCAAACGATAATACAAATTCCTTTAGCTTAGAATATTTAAAATACTAGATAAGGGCTAGGATGTCATTATCTGAACACTCAGCTAAAGCTGATAGTTCATATCAGAAAGCAGTCATGTAGCCAACGACCACGAACACAGCATTTGTGGGCACTGCATCGATGAATGACAACACTGCACCAATATGCTAAGAAGCACGTTCAAAATTTTTATTTTATGCAGGTTGATTTGTATCAACCCCACACAATTATAGTAACATGTCTAGCAAAGAAAGTCAGTTCTTCTATTTCCCCTCCCCTGCTGTGGCCTGGGAATATTAATTCATTGCCTTTCCTGTAATCTCTCATAGATACAGTTG